GGAATGCGTGTTTAATGAGGTGCTGGTGATTTTCAATGAAACAGTGCCTAAAAGAAGAATGTAGAATAGAAGGAGAAACTGGCATGGAGAGAAACAATTTGAAGTCTAGGGCTGTGGTGCAGAGGGGAAAGGTAGGTTTGAGCTCAGCGGGCAGCAAGAGCTGCAGAACTTTTGCTTTCTTTTCCCTTTTGAGCTGGTTACTGGATTTCTCAGTGCGGGCCTGGATACTTTTGAGGGACATTGTTATGTTCCTTTCCAGGACCCTCCCTCCACTACTCCATAACCCTACACATGCACACACCTGCTTTCTCTGCCCTACCTTGTCCCTAATCCCCCACTTCTCCTACTGGCTCTGACCCCTTCGTCACCCCAGGGGGACACCCAGTCTTCTCTCTTGCTTCCTTTTGGTGGGTGGTGCTCTTCTACAGAGATCTTCTTCAGCTCCCTCTGGGACCTGTACTGCTGATTCTATTCCCAGGGCTGAGCTTGGGGCCAGTGAGCTGGCTGAGCATCTGGAGCAGAGGCTGGCTAGGCACCAGGTAGCTGTCGCTCCACATTGTCACACCATGGAGCCGTGAGAGCGGCTGAGTAGGGGGTGTGATGGATCTGCCTAGAGCTGGAAGAGTAGAGGGCTTCTCAGTGCCATGACTGTAACTCTGCCCCTGCCACCTGGTTCATGCTGAACCTTGTAGGAAACTAAGTGGTTATGGTTTGCCAACACTTTTCAGCCACCTTGCTCTCTGGGACCAGAGAGTGCCTGGCTACATGGGTCAACCACCAAGGAAGCCCTGAGTCTGCTTTTGCTGTGCACACTGTATGCAGTTTGCAGAGGACTTGGGAAATTCAAGACTTTTGTCCTGATCATTGCTCGGGATCCCACTGGCTACTTGGCAAGCAGAGCTTCTCTGAGCACTAACAGTAAAGGGAAGAGATACCACATCTGGCCTTTATGTAGAAGGAGCACACTTCACTCTGGATTTGCTGTCTCTGTGCCTGCTACTTGTGAGACTAATGAAGTGATGGGGCCATAGTAAAATCTGTTTTCCCAGGAGAAATCCTGGCTAAGGTCAAGGAGAAGGCCCTCTGCAGAGTCCAGAGCAAGATACCACTCTGCCTTCCGCATCCTGGCTGGCAGCGTTACCCACTTAGCCAGTGGCTGGAGGACGAAGCAAGACAGGGTGAGGCTTTGCTGGGTGGCTCTCAGCTGCAGGTCTGTATTCTAGAGCATACTCCATTGTAAGCATTCAGCAAGGGCAAGTTAAAAGCAAAGGGGAAGCTGTGAATGAGTTGCTCATGCTTATATTCGGGTCAGTGTGTGACTTAATTTAACCATTCCTTTGATTTTTTTTTCCTTCTCCATCTTGTATTTTATAGCCAGAGTCTGAACCTCCTCGTCGATTTTTTGTCGACCAATGGGAGCTTTCTGTTAGTCTTCGTTCCTCCCACCCTGCCTCTCCCTCCTCCGACTCCCTGCGACAGGTAGCATTTGCGACAGGTAGCATGGGCTGGGCCTTGGCGAAACTCTTCCTTCCCTGTGCAGCCTCCACTCACTTCACTCTTGCAAATGTCATCTGCTCTGAGTGGGTTGTGGAATTCTGAACTTTGGCCTGTCTCTGCAGGAAGCTGATGTATGTGTGTGTGTTTTGTGTGTAAAGCCTGTGGGTATACACCTCAGCTAAAGAGGCTGCTGGCTTTCATTGAACTGTGTTTAACACGCTAGATTCTGTCCAAGTAAACCCATTTTGATCGTTATTTTAACTGTACCAGATAATGATAAGCATTTTCAGCCACTGGCTTTTTAAACTTGAATGTCTTCATAATAATGTGTTGCAAAACATGAACCATGGTGTAATTAAATCTCTTAAATGGAGTAGTGAATGTGCAATATTGGGGTGTCTGTTGAATTGTAATCATTTGAGGAATGAACCCTGCTATTGCCCACAGTGGCACTGATCCAGCTATAGAGAAGTTTCTAGAGAAATCAGAGGGTCTTTTTGTCCTTTCTGTTTGATATTTCCTGTTCTTAAGCCAGTATCAGACCACACAGTTTGTGTGTCATAGCACATGCCTGCATGTGGTGTGCAATAGTATAAGTCCAGCGATTGCTACATTTTGACTATGTTTTAGGAGTGAAAAGAAGGAAACCATCTGCTTTTCATGCCAGAAACAACTAGAACTTGAGTCTTCACTTCTCTTAAGGGGGTGCTTGTTAGTGTCACCACCTCTCTGAGAACTGAGTGTGACAAATGCCTTTGCAGCATAGGGTGATAGCTGCTGAGGATGGTGGTTTCTGGTCAGAAGAGAAGGGTACAGGCTGAGCAGTGAGGACCCTGGACTTGCTCACTATCTTGGTCTCATATTTGATGTCTGGCCCACACACTTGCTTGTCTGCTACAGAATGAAAGAAATGCAGTTTTCTGTTCCCTTAGTGTCAGCCATTAAATTATCTGCCCAGCTCTGCCTGGTCTGTGTCTTGTTCCAAGCCTAAGCTTCTTTAATGTCCTTAATCTAAAGAAGGTTTGGATCTAAGGGCCACTTGTTTTTCTCAACCACTAATAGGTATAATCTGTGAAATTAATGGGGAAATGGCATCAATCCTTGGAAATCTCCTTATTTTTGAGTTGAAAAATATAATTGATTCCTCAGTTCCAGCTGAGCCTGAGCTGAGCCAAATGGGAATAGTTTTCTCATTTGTGTGTCTGTTCCCGTATTTACATAGGCTTGACTTCCTCAGAGTGCTTCTCCTATCTGTCTCTGCCCAGCCAGGCCCTGCCATTGCTCAAGCCTGTGATCCTCTTACATGTGACTTTGTATGTTTGTCTGTTCAAGCCACTCCCTAACAAGGGGTTGTGGGCATTGCCAGGATAATTGCTCCTGGCAGGGTTCTGAGTTAGAATTAGAGTAAGGGTCCCTCTGATTTGGTAGGGAGCCCCTTTATTTCACAAAGTTCATGAGAAGAGCACACATGCATTAGATGTCATGGTCATCTGCATGTGGAAGGGTGACCTGGACATGGAGTCTCTAAAGAACTTCCTGGGGACAGCCTCAAGGTTGGCTGTCTAGGGCACCCACCGTAGGTATAAGCCAGTGACTTATGGTGAAATTGTGCACATTTTCTTCTGTTATTTCTTCAGCATTGCCAGAAAGAGGATTAAATTGGTTGGATTTTTTCTTGTTTATCTTTTTTCAACCTATAAAAATAGGTTGGGCATAGTGGCTCATGCCTGTGATTCTAGCACTTTGGGAGGCCAAGGATGGGGGATTGATTGAGGCCAGGATTTTGAGACCAGCTTGAGCAACAGGGCAAGTCCCTATCTCTTCAAAAAACATAAAAATTAGCCAAGTGTGGTAGTGCACACCTGAAGTCTTAGCTACTTGGGAGATTGAGATGGAAGATCACTTGAGTTCGAGGTTGCAGTGGGCTATGATGACACCACTCCACTCTATCCAGGGCAACAGATAACTCTGTCTCAACCCCCCCCCCCATCCCCCAGGACTACAAATACATTCTGACTTCCCAGGACGAGCTAAGCAACTTGTCTGCATGGCCACAGCTTGTGTTTAACTCACCCAAGCCAGTCTAGAAGGCTTTGGCCTTAGCATGTGGGTAGATCAAGGGGCCTCAATATGCAGCACTCAAACCCATATTAGACTCAACTGAGAACACCTCTTCCAGTAAAGCTCAGGAAGGTTGGTACATGTGACAGGAGTTACAGGTCAAGTGTTAATGAGGAAGAAGATTATCACAGGTAATACTAGAACTAGTAACATTTGTTACCCAAGTGGAGAGTCAGCATTTGCAAGGAGCTTCATTTCTTTCTAAATAAGGAAATAACTTCCCAAGCCTTGTCCCACACCTTGAAACATGTGGTTAGTATGGGCATCTGCTGTCTGCATGGGAGTTATTCCTCTTGAATTCTTTAAATGTTATCCGAGTCACCAGGGTATGGACCCTTCTTACTCCTGTTTGCATTCATCCTGTCTTCCTACCCTCTAGCCTCCTGGAATTGTATATCCCACAAGGACATGAGAGACCGAGTTTTCTCCTAATGAAGACACTTTTCCCTGCAGCTGCTATTTCCACACATGCTGGTGCCTCTGTGTGGCACTGACACGGTGTTTTTCTTATCACCCAGCTTGCCTGCTTGTGAGCACTGTGTGGGCATGATTTGTTGCTGCACCTTGTATTCATTGTATACCTTTCTAAGATTTTTTTTCCCTGTCTTCTTAATTTATTTATTTATTTTCCTTCTCATTTCTCTTCATTCTGATCATTTTATAATCTCCAACCACTAGAAGTATATAAAGATGTACACAGGCGGAGTGAGCTCATTGGCTGAGCAGATAGCCAATCAGCTTCAAAGGAAAGAGCCGCCCAAAGCCCTTCTAGACAAGAAGGAACTGGTAAGAGATGTCTCAAGGGCACTGCCTAGCTAGACATAACACAGCTATGGTAAATAAGCCTGGTTTCTTCTGAGTAATCAGTATATGCCATGTGGTCATTTTTTTGGAGGTTGTTTGAATTTCTAGGACTGCCATAATTGTTTAGAAAGTTGTGTGGAAAAGTGACTGCTTTAGAGTCCAGGGGACCCATATATGTGTGTAGAACACTGAGTGTATATGTTTCTGATACGCTCAGAACAGAATTGTGTCAAAATAATTTGGTTTAATTGCTCTGAAATTCTGTTATCTTGGATCCTTCACCAGAAGCAAATTGACTTGGGTTTTCTCTTGATGATTGGTTAACACTGGTTCAGAATCCACCTGTGCCAATGCTCTCCAGAGGCACATAGGATACAGTTCCTGCAGGGGTACAGTTGCTCTCCGGAAGAGCCAAAAGTGGAGTGAACTGTAGCCATTAATACTTGTAGTCTGCTGTGGAACAAAATCATGTAGGGAGGTTTAGCTTCACGCGTGAAGGGCTGCAACTTTGGGGAGGGGCCTGAGAACACTGCCCTGAGGTGCCTTTCCTTCCTCTCGCCCCCTCCCTACTCCTCCAGGGCTCCATGAAGAAAGAGTTCCCGCAGAACTTGGGAGGCAGCGACACATGCTATTTCTGCCAGAAGCGGGTCTACGTGATGGAAAGGCTGAGTGCTGAGGGCAAGTTCTTCCACCGGAGTTGCTTCAAATGCGAGTACTGTGCCACCACCCTGCGCCTCTCAGCCTATGCCTATGACATCGAGGACGGTGAGGTGGCTTGCTCTTCAGGGCATACTTAGAAATAGTGTTTGAGACACTTTGTTCATTTGACCTGGGAACCTTAGAGTGTTTTGCTGCATTTTTGTGTACTTTTTCCCTTCTATCTCCCCAACCCTTCCCATCCATCTCTTTCCTTCCTTTGTTTTTTTGCTAAGACTCTCATATAAATATTTCCCAAAGTCACCAGGCTGTATCATGCCCAGCAATGATGGTAATGAGCATGGAATGCACTTGCCTAAATCATTTTCCTGACTTCACAGAAGCTCACTTGCTTTCTGACTTTATGGTGGGATCTTGAGATAAAATGGCTGTAAAGAGGATAAGTCTTCTTGTCTTTAAATCATAGAAGGAGAATCATAGGTCTGTAGAAGTCACATTTCTTGCCTAAGGTTGACAACTGATAGTTGAAACTAGATCCTGGCTCCTGATTCTCAGATGCTGCCTCTTGGAGATTACTGCAGTATGCCTGGCATTACTGCTTTCTCTGGCATTACTGCTGAGGGCATCAGCATCTCACCATCCCCTATCTGATGCATTGTGAGCTCATGTCACAGGGCCTGAATCTACTTTGCTATGGCATTCAGGCCTGGTCTTTGGTGACATTTACTGGTTTTTACAGTGGAAAGGTTGGTAGGGTAGAAGGTAGCAGATCATGCGCACGGATGACAGAGTCTGATAGACAGTGGCAGGCTGGCCTACCATGAGAGGACCTTGAACTCATGGCTCCTGCACCTGTTCCTACAGGCTACTGAAGGGGCTCATGGGCAGTCTTACTGATTGCACAGTAATGAGGGGGCCTAGATTAATGGGAGAGTAAATTAATCCTCACAAGTATGACATCAAGCCCCTTACATTTGATAGGTGACTTCTTGACTATGTAAGGTGATGTCATATAGGAGAAGTTACATGCCAGTTAGGACCTAGTTGCTCCAGGCATCCAGGCCCTCCTAACAGTGAGTCAACAGGTAGCTCTTTCAGAGGAAGCAGGAAAGGAGCCCTGAGGGTGAACTGAGAAAGGCTAGTTCCTGTCCTTATAACATGGTGGTCCTCTACCCAGTGGTGGGAGAATTAGACTATTGTTTAGATAAGGAAGGTAAATTGTTAGTTATCAAATCCTCTGTTTCACTTTTCCCATACGATTTAGGAAGTGCCTTTGATCTCTAAGGATGGGGGTGGACAGAGTCCACCCAACTTTGTATAGACATCCTTAATGGTTAGGTTTTATTTTAGTTACTAGCTTCCTATCGGTGGATCCTTTCACAAGACCCAGCCAATTGATCTACAGGGGTTTTTTTGGAGACAGATTTTCACTGTGTCACCTTGGGGGGAGTGCCATGGCATGATAGCCCACAGCAACATCAAACTTTTGGGCTTGAGCAATCCTCTTACCTCAGCTTCCTAATTAGCTAAGACTACAATGCCTGCCACCACACCTGGCTAGTTTTTCTATTTTTAGTAGAGGCAGGGTCTCGCTCTAGCTCAGGCTGGTCTCCAACTCCTGAGCTCAGGTGATGCTCCCTCCTCGGCTTCCCAGAATGTTGGGATTATAGGCATGAGCCACTGTGCCCAGCCTAATCTACAAGTATTTTTGCTTATGGATGTGTGCTCATCTTTGCTCTTGAGGATACAGGTGAAGTATAAAATGTGCCTCTAGGAGCTCATATTCTGACCGGAGGGATAAGCTAGTGCACGTGAAACAATAGCAGACAGCATAAGAGGATGATGATTAAGGGCTCAGTTACTTTGTCTAGATTGTAACTTTGTAGAAGTTTGGAGGAGAAAGAAATTAATGAAATTCAAAAGCAGTCTAGAGCAAAGTAACTGACCAGAGGCTAGACTTTGAGAGAGAAGGATGTTGTGGCTAAGAGGGGGGCAGAGGTGGCACATTAGGGTGGAGCTCAGATGGGAATGGCCACAACGCTGGGCAAGGTGAGGCTGGATAAGTGTGGGTATGTTATTCTGGGGCAGGGAGAACCATGAGTCTAAACCAACTCCCCAAATTTGGATCCAGATAAAATTTTCGTCAGCTCAGCCCCTCCACAGAACTTCCATGGAGACATGTGGACTATAGACAGAAGTGGAAATTTAGGGACACTGAAGTTATCAAGTGATTCAGAAATCTAACTGAAGAGCCTCAGAGAAGAAAAAAGCCAGGGAGATTAAAGCAAACAGAAGTCACCCAGAAGTTCTATTGGGCTCTTGACCACATAGCACATCTCTCATAACATCCCCATAAGGTAGCTGTTTTTATTGTAATTTTAGGAAATCATGTTTGGAGGCGGCATAAGTTGCTTGGCCAAGTTTACACAGCTACTAAGTGCTGGTTTGCACTAAATGAACTCTGGATTCATTCCAGGTCAGAGGTTTAGGGATTAGTGACCCTAGGTTCCATTGTCAACTCCATACTGGTAAAATAAGTACCATATACTTCAAGATGTATCTGCTTGCCCTTGTAACTGGTTATTCTTCCCTTCAGTCTGCTCGAACACAAAGCTACTCTTTCTCCTGTAACATGGTAGCTTGTTTGTGATCGCTACCAACTCTTAAGACAAGGACTCCAAATCAGACAGTACGTCAGGCCTTTTCCTGTCATCTTGAGAAGAGAAAACTTGCTACCTTCCAAGGTGGTCTGTGTGGGGCAGTCCTTGGCAGTGACGAACCTCAAAGTCTCTATCTCTGCTGGTGACACCCAGGCCAGCTGTTGTATCATCCGCCAGCACCACTGGCCTCCTTGCCCTGTCCTTGATAGTCAGAAAGTAGCTTAAGGAGTCTTAAAATGTGTAACTCAGATCTTGCCCATCTCCTACTCTTAACAGTGCAGAAAGAACCCACAGCCCAGTCCCAGTGGAGCAGGCATCACACATCTAGCCTGACTGCCCTGCCATTAGCTGCCCCAGCTTGCTGTACCTTTCATGCTGGTCTCTTTTTCATCCCATAAACATGACGAAGCCACTGCTCTCTTAGGACTTTGCTTAGCTGTCTTCTCTCCTGGAATGCACTTTTCCTCCAATCTCCTCAGGATGGGCTTCCTGTCATTCACATCTCCACTTATTCCCTCTCTAGGAGGCACTCCCAGCCCCTCACAACACCTATTCCATCCCCACACAGTGGTGACTGCTGTCTGATACTTGCTCATAGGTTGTCTGCTGTATCCAGAGACCTTGTCAGTCTGCTTGCCTGGAGGACTGTCCTTGTTTAGATTGGTACCTGTTGAATCCTGGCATCAGTGAGATGGTGAATGAATGAATAGCCCCATTTACCGTAGGCCTGCCCTGTGGCCATTCGTTTTCCCCAGTTCCTTTTCCCAGATTTAATTATCAGGATTCCTTACTTTAGATCACTGATAATGAGTCACTCAACTAAACCACACATAATCTGTAGTTAATTTATAGCATTTTGTGTATCTGGATTTACTAACCTGAATCAGACATCATAACAGAGTGGCTAAAAGAATGGGCTCTGGAGCCAGCTTCCTAGGCCTCTGAGGTTTACTAAGAGGAGGGCACTCCGGGCAGGCTGCTCAGCCTTTCTCTGCCTCCCTGGGAAAAGGTGGGTAATCGTGGTGCCTGCCTCATTGGGTGGTGGTTAAAATACTATCTACCACATGGTAAATGGTAGATAGAAATTAGCTTTTTTGTTCCATTTGAAAAGCAAAAAGTGCTATCAAGTTCAGTTTGAGAAGGGGTGTGAGGAGGTACTTATTTTTTTTTTTTCAGATTCTTTATTTTTTATTTTTACATATACATGTGTTTACTAGGTTTCCACTTTTTGCCTTCACAAAATCAAAAAGGCTTAAAATTTAACAACAATAACAATGTTTAAGATATGGGCTAGAAACAAAAACCTTATAAAGAATGAATAAAGATAAATACATTCAGAAAAGTAATCAGATGATTGCTGCAATGAAGTATTAAGCAATAATAATAATAGTAATGCAAAGAAGAAGTAACATTCACATTGTCAAATAACAGTATGTCTGTTATAGAATACTTTGATTCTGAGGTTCAGTATGGAGTCATCAGTTAACTTCTTATTATTTTTTTTCTCAAAGTCTCAAAAAATGGACAACTAATATTTATAAATAAAAATAAAAGACAATTTCAAAAAATAGATCATGCCAAATCTTATAGACAATAGAAAAAGAAGAAATACTTCAAAATCATTCTGCTTAATCTAGATACACCTGATATTAAAATTGTAAAAAATACATTATTATAAAGGGGAAATTACAAACACAATTCACTTTTAAATGAGGATGCAGCATCCTGCTGTATCTTAAACAACATATGAACAAGTTGAAGTAAAAATTAATGTTTAAGTAATGTACTTTAGTCAAAATTGAATCCAGTTATGTGAGAATTAGTCACTTTTTTTTTCTTGTCCTTACCCTCACCTCTTCCCTCCTTCTCTGTCTGCTCAGAAGGGGAGAGCAGACTGAGGACGTACTTATTAATGGAGCGCCTACAACACATGACATGTGATATCTGTGTAATTATCTCGGTCTGTGAAGTGGGTGCATGTTCATTTCTATGTGAAGAAATATGCGTCCAGAGGCTAAATAGTTCACTCTGCTCCTGAGTGGCTGAGACACTGTTTGAACTGAGATCTGATTTTAGAGCTCATGTTCCTTATATCATGTTGCACTGTCTTCCTAGAAAAAAATAATTTTCTGGACTTTTTGGGGAAATTTTCTTTGTTACTAGGCCTGTAGAATTTGTTTCTGAAACTTAAGCCTCTTTTTTCCTTAATTGAGGGTATTAGAGGAGGGTATAATGAGGATTCAGTTGAATTTAATCGAGTTGTATTTGAAGATCTGGCATTCTGGCTGCAGCAGGCTCATACCTGTAATCCTAGCATTCTGAGAGGGCAAGGCAAGAAGGTTGCTTGAGCTTAGGAGTTGGAGACCAACCTGAGCAAGAGTGAACCCATCTCTACTAAAATTAGAAAAATAGGCTGGGCTTGGTGGTGCAAACCTGTAATCCCAGCTACTTGGGAGGCCGATGTAAGAGGTTGCTTAAGTCCAGGAGTTTGAGGTTACAGTGAGCTGTGATGATACCACTGCACTCTAGTCCAGGCAATAGAGTGAGACCCTATCTCAAAAACAAACAAACAAACAAAAAAAACTGGGATTTTACTTTAGCAGGAAAAAAAACCCCAAATTAATGCAAGAAAAAAATTGAAGCAAGGAATGAAAGTAGAAATAACGTATTTTCTGATGATGTAATAAATAAGACTCTTGGTTACAAGTAATAGAAGCCCAAGTCAGATTGAAGTTTAAGCAGTAGATTAATAGACAGCAGTCTCCAGAGAAGGGCTGCCCCTTCTCCCTCATTATCCATAATGATCCTCCAGGAGAGCTCTGGTCAGCCTGACTTTACTCACATGCCAAGGCCTAGCGCACTGTGACTGACCAGCCTGGGTTATGTGTCCACTTCTAGGCTGGGCAACATCAGGCCGCATGCTTAATACCCCTCATCAGAATCCCATGGAGAAGATACAGAGCAGACTGGAAGAAGCCATACGTGATTCAAGTACTCAGATATTTTACCTTGTCCTATTTACTGAGGGCCAGAATTCACAAAAGCAGAGTGGCTTATTATGGATCATAAAAGGAAATTGTGGTCATGCTGAAAATAATAACCTATGACTTGACTCCCCTCATAAGAAACAAGGAGTAAGATTGATTTTGGTTACTAGGTGTTCCTACATCCTAAGAGATGTAGTGTTTCTGAGTCCCGGTGAAATGCCAGTAGCTAGTGGAAAATCTGTTTGGGGAAATATACTATGCATTATGAATATTATTTTAAAATCTATGAAATTCCACAAACTATATCTTTCTAATAGATTTGTTCAGCATGGGAGAGGGAGTTCATGTGAAAGAAAAACAAGTCAGTCAGTTTCTTTGAAGGAAAAAAGAAAGAATCAGATTACCAGGTAAAGGAGAAAAAGAAAGAATGCCATCCTATCTTTTACTCTCTTTGGGTTTTAGGTCCTCTTAACTTTGAGATCAAGAAACTCATTTGTCTAAAGGGCCCTGTTTACAAATGAGAAGGGTGAAATAGGAATGAGAACAGGGTTCAACAGTTTCTGTAATGAATTCTGTCATTTAATGCTCAAGAGCATTAGTGAAAGTAAAGAGTCAGAAAAAATGGGTTAATTCCACTACCAGCGTCATGGGAAAAGCCCGGACAGTGTTGTTCATACTTTTTTGGACACACCCCCAGTAGGGAATGGATGTTATGATAAGACCTAGTAAACACATGGAGATGTAACTGGAAGTGCTAAGAAATAATATTTAACTCTGTGCCGCAGTACACTCTGGTTTTTATTCTGTTTTATTCTGTTCCATTCCACTCATTCGTTATTGCAGGAGTTTTTGGTTTTGAATGCTGACCCCGACCCTCTAGGGGGGTGGGGAGACCATGTGAGAGCGTGTGGGTACAGAGGCTGAGCAGCACAGCTGATGCCCAGGGATGCCCACCCCTGCAGGCTTCACGCCTCCACCCATACTTGTTTTCATCCTTGGTTTCCCCAGAAATGCTCCTCCCCACTTTTTATGTGGTCACATCTTTGTTCCACACACACTGCCACTTTGTCTGCTGGCCCTGCCCTGTAAGCCTCGCATCTCTACTCTGGCACTGATTGGGTGATGGCTCAATGGCCTTCACATTCCCAAAGAAAAAGACCCCCCCACCTTGAGGCAAAAGGAGGAGAGAGCTGGAAGCAAAGTTTATAGGGAAGGACCGGCCTCCCTGGATAAGAGGCTGGGTAGGGTGATAGCCTCCCGTCGCTAGAGGAGAGGGGGTCATGTTCAGAATCGATGATCTAACTCACTCCCTCGTCTCCTGCTTCTGCTGTCTGCAGGTAAATTCTACTGTAAACCACACTACTGTTATCGGCTCTCTGGCTCTGCACAAAGGAAAAGACCAGCAGTGGCTCCTCTGTCTGGAAAGGTAATGGTGACCCATCCTGTAAGTGGGTGAGAAGCTGTGGGCGCCAGTGCAGTGTGGTCCCTAGGCAACATGCAGCCAAGCAGGCCCTGCTGGGTGGCTGCTGCATCCCCGCCTCCCTTGTGAAGGGAGTGCCTGAGATGAGGTTGCTATCCGATTTGGAAAGGGAACCAACTTTTAAGCATGATCTAATGTTGTGCTTCACTAAAGTAATATTCCTTCTACCCTCTGAGTTGGATTTGAGGATGATGCAGACCTCCTTTTCTGCTCACTACATATAAAAGATTTTTGCCTTCGTAAATGGGCATCTCTCTGAAAGCAGGATATCCTGCTGCCGAGGGTAACTATGTATTCATTTTTCACGTTGTTAGAGTTCTCATCAAGGAAGGCACTGGTGGGGAGGAGGCAGCATGATGAGAAGCCCTCCCTGTTCCTTGCCAGCCCTCCCCACCCAGGGTCTGGGCCAGGTGGGAGCAAGTGCTAACTAACCCCTACCCTATACTGAGGAGGAAGTGGGCTGCACATAGTTGGCTTGGCCTGCCATCTCCTTGCATTACCTTATTCTGTATGTTACTTATCTGGGAACTTGCTTCACTTCCCCTCCCCTCCCCTCCCCTCCCCTTCCCTCTCCTCTCCTCCCCTCTCCTCCCCTCTCCTCTCCTCTTTTTTTTCCCCTCTTCTCCCCTTCCCTAGAGAGCGGCTTTCCACCTGTCTTACCAGTTCAGCCCTGTAACCCCTTTACCACTGGTTAATTCATGTCTCCTTTAGAGGCTTCACAGAGGGAATTATGGGAAGGGGTACACTTAGCTGGATCTAGACTCTGACTCCTACTGACCTCTATGGGAACTATGTCCTGGTTTCTTTAAAGAAAGATTTATGTATGGAGAATACAGCTCTGGGTTGCTTGGTAAAATCAACAGGGACAAACCAGCCTGTCACATTGTTGTTGTAGCCTCAGATTTCAGTATTTCAGTCAGAGACACTCTTTTTCTCATGAACTTTCCTAGGAGGCCAAAGGACCCCTGCAGGATGGCCCCACTGCAGATGCAAATGGACGGGCCAGCATTGTGGCCAGCTCGGCTGAGAGAACCCCAGGTAGCTTCACTTCCTTGTTTGGCTGGGTGGTGCATCACTCCCTTGGCCTCTGTGACAAGGCCAAGGGGATGAGCCAGCACCTCCAAAGCAACATTTCTTCAATTGGGCATCAAGTGGCCCAAAACCCTTTGGACTCCTTTTTCATGTGCCAGCTGCTTGCATTCGGAGTCCCCTTTCTCTATGGCCTGTCAGAGGTGCTGGTACAAATCGGAGGGGAGTTCCACTGGCAGACTGTGAGCCAGTGAGGGTGCCATCTGGTAAGCGGCATCACCTAAGCTATGGGTCATGTTTATTCAACATCTCAAAGTACTATCCCCGTCGCCTCCTCCCACATCCATCACACACATTGGGGTGTCTGGTACCAGTCATGTGTAGACCAATAGGAATTCAGAATAGGCTGCCTCTGTCACTCACCCAAGTGAATATCCAGAGGTGCTAGGCCTTCATGTGGTTCCTTGTTTTTAGACTCCTTTGAAACAGGGCATGGTGTTGTGATGGTCTGGAATTGCCTTCATTTACACTTGAAATTTTTCCATCCCATTCTACATAGAGGAGTCTGGATGAGCTGTCACTGCTCTTCTGTTTGACCTGAACCCTTAAAGGGCATGCCCTGTCCTAACCACTCAAAGGCATTTGAACTTCTAATGAGAATTAAGCCCTAATTTGTCCTACTTCCTTTATCATTTTCTTTTGTCAAGAGGGGAGTGACACTATCTCTACCTCTAAAAACATATTCTGATCATAGCAGGGCAGGATCAGGAGGGCTCATGGGCACAAGACCTATGGGAGGAATTGTTTCCTTTTCCTTAAGGCAAGTGGCCCTTCTTGGCTCCCTGTAAAACCAGCCCATGATATAGCTCACAAACTGCTGTGTCTGATGCCCCAGTGCAGCTCTAGACGATGCCCAGCCTAGGTTGCTTGCTATGCAGGTGAGAGAGAAGGTCGTAGGGCCACATGTCTGTTTTTCACACTTTCCTCTCCAGTAAATCTCAAGCAACCATTTACAGAAAGTAAAAGGTCATCAGCCAATGCCAGAAGCCAGGAAGGAGTTTGTAGTGGAGTTTCCATGATGGGAAAAGGGAAGAATTACCTTGACCTCCAATGAGAGCTTCTCATGGTGTCATCTTTTCCCATTTTTAAGAGCTAGTTATTGTCAGCCTTGTGGTGCTCATTCTGGGAGAGGCAGAATGTGCCCAGACGTTGGGTGTTACCCAGTGGGTGCAGTGATTTAGAGGATGATACAAACCCCAGCTGAGATAGGTAAACTCGGCCTGTGCTACATGTTTCTTTATTATAATCTGAGGGAAATTTTTAAATGCCCTGCAGTTGAGACTGACATTTTATTGCCATGAGTAACTAGTAAAGCTTCTCTAGTCTTAAAGATCTTTCTTATGAAAGGCTGAACAGTTCTTTGCAGTTGACACTCACACGAGCATGGGATAATCGTTGGCAGAGAAAAATAACTAAAGAGATCTAGACAGAAACTTTGGCTTTATGCTGTAGAATGTGCATTTATCAAAAGAGAGCACCACTTATTAATCTAGGACTTTGCCAGCAGCAATGGATTTTCCAAGGAACCTGACTACTCAGTAAACAACTCAAAGAAATTAAACCCTCCATTTAGATTAAGAAACATTTTTTAAAAGGAGTTAAATGTCATGACTTTCAGGTTGTTCGTTAACAAGCCGAGTTTGCTCACTTTCCCATTTGGTTCAGGTTGCCCTTCTTCCTATCTAATTGAAAGTACTTCAGGTCTTTAGGAGTTCTAAAGAAGTGAGGGTTCTATAGAGCAGGGGAATGTCTTGCAAAGCATGGAAAGAAGATGAGAGTTGGCAACGTGGTTGAAGAATCAAAATAACCAAGAAAATCCTGAGGGGATCTTAGTCTCCATGGTTCTCGGTTCTAAACTAGAAGGTGACTTACCTGGTATAGCACAGAGGGTTAAAGACATGGTGTCCCAAAAGAGTTGCAGCTTGAACCCTTAAGGTGAATGAAGCAGGCACTGTGTCCCCCCCCTCCCCGCCCCCAGTTTAAGCTACCTCTAGGCAAGGGAAGGCCAGAGACTGGGGCTGATGGGCTTCTGTTAAAATCTACATCTGGAGATGTCAGCCTTTGGAAATTACAGCTCTGAGTCTTGAATATGCTCCAAAAACACTGGCACTTTCTCAGTGAGCTGACTCATTTTTGTTAGCTTCTTTAGAAAAGGAACAGACTTGTCAATGGTATTTTGTATTTGGCATGAAGTAGATTTCTTTTCTTCTTTGGTAGAAATTTTCTTCATTAAATCCTAAACTAAAGCTTTGGTTACTTAACCAAAGAATTTTCCTCTGAAAAAGCTTCAGAAAAACTCAGGTGTTTCCAGGGTCTAGAATGTGTGTGTGGAGAGCAGTCATTAACCCAGATCTGGTTGGTCTCAGTGCACTCGAGACCAGAAGAGGTGATGAATGAATGAACTTGATTCTGTCAAGGTTGTGTTTAACCCAACCATCCTCTCTAGATGCACATCCCTTAGGAGGAGGTGCTGGAAAAGTTGTGATTGCAGGCAGCATTTGAATTTGACCCTGCTGTGCTTTTGCTCTGTGCCTCCTCTTTCTTTTGTGGCATTTCTCCCTTGTGTTCTTTGCCCCTTATGCTAAAATTCTTGCTGTTGCCAAAAAACCCCAAATATAACCCACAAGTTCAAAGACCCCACTGTAGGCCTGCTTTACAATGTTGTCTTTCTCTGGTAACCTAATATGTAACTGCTGCCTAATTTATTGCTTGGGAGACATTGTTTATGGTATTTTTGTTTGTAATGTGCTTTTAATATAGAAATCCTCTTTTCTGTTCTCAAATCTGTAAACGCTTTGTTTCCAAGCTTACACTTACTATTGCAGATTAGTGGACCTGGCACAGATTTTCTTACCCTGGCCTAATAGTACTGGCCATCACTTTAGAAAACCCCAAATGGGATTATTTTCCCTTGGACATGAGATCCTCAATTGCAGGTTTTTTAGATTCGTTTTTGCACAAAGGAATCCTCTTTTTAATCTCACACACTTGATCGCCAAAAATGAAGCATAGCAGCTGTGGGGTGTAACAGGAAGGGAACAGAAGACTTTTCCCCCAGAGTGTTCATCTTCTGAACATCTATGATGCAGGCGACAAAGATAGGATGGAAGAAACAGTAATTTTCTGTGATCTTATGGAAAAGATTATCTGAAATTAAAAAGCCACAGGTCACAAGTGGCAGCTGCCTGCTCCCTGTGCCCAGACCCCTTTGCATGCCTCTGGGATCCATAGTTTGCAACCTGAATGGGCCATTAGGAAATGCAGGCATTTCCCACACAGCTAGAAGAATAGCCAAGCCATATAAGGAATTTTACTTAACCCTGGGGTCCCTGCCTGATAGAGGGAAGTTAGGAAATCTTACCACTTCCCAAGTTCTCTTCCCTTATGGTTATTTCTGGAAAACCTTTCAGTAGAGCGAAGATAATCCTGCAATCCAGTTTACCTGTCCAACCCTACCCTAAGTCCTAGCTGGTGATGTGTGAATGTTTCTATATCTGTCCACACTTATATGTATGTAGATCTGATTACACATATGAATAGATATTTATTTATTATACCCTAAATAATAAGAATATTGATGATATGAAGCTCTTTCCAAAGCTATTTGTTCCTTGGTTGTGGAAACTGAGGGAGCTGTACACTGGGAGCCATACGCCTGGCCTGTCCTCTACTCTGGTCAGGACATTGAACAAACAGCAGCCTAAGAGCGGCACATCCATGGAGCTGAGGGGGGGGTGCTTGGGACATGAGCAACACACACCCAACCTCAGGAAACTGACCCTAGAACAAACTAGGAAAGCGCAGGGGTCTGTTGCTAGTAGGGTACCACAGAAAACCAAGCACCCCACCTCCCTCTCTTTTGGTTTCGGGCTTGTGTATTGGCTCCCTGGGTTAGTTATTTCAGCTTTCCACTGCCTGTGGGTGATTAGTGTGTCTTCACTTGTTTTCTGTAGTACAGTAGAACATTCCTAGGCCCTCTTAAAAGGGCTGCATCATGACCTTGAAGGTCTACCAGTGAGTTAAAGGGTTCACTTTTTTCCTGAGCTATCCAGCTTGGGGTGGGGTCAGAAGGGGATGGCAGCAGGCCAGATCCCCACAGCAGTGGTGCAGAGAAGCCTGAGCAGGGGAAGATTAGCTGTGCCAAGGAACACGTCACTCATCAACTTCTAGCCTTCCTTCAACCTTTATTTTTGCCTTTGTTTTAACCTGTGCTGTTGTTTTTGGTGTGTTTCTTTGTGAGTTTTTAATTTAATTGTGTAACTTTGTTTTTGCCGTTACTGTGAAACCAAGGTGTTGTGCTTTTAATTTCTTTTTTTTAACAAATGTTATATTCTTATTTAAGAGAATAAATTCCAAACAATCTTCAGGCTTCTGAGTTTTTCTTTTCCTTCCCTTTTCCTGACTGCAGGGTGGGAAATGGGGACACTGAGGCAGGTCTTGGGAGTGGGCTGGAAAGCTGCTGTGTCTCAGACTGTCCCTCCTGGGGCAGTCAGCAGGAGAGCATAGAGGGGAAATGGGACAGGTGTGTACTGCTAACTCCCGTTAAAGGAAGGGCCCATTGAGGGGGGTGACATGGTGCAAGACATTTTGCTTTGCAGCAGCTACAAATAGAGAAGAGCAAGAAAGACACCACCTGTGCCCATGTATCCCATGTGCTGTCTGCCAGTGGGTGGGGTCTGTGGGCCAGAGGGGTGCAGGGGCAGAAATTCCACACAGAGCCAGACCTGCCTGGGGATGTGTAGCTGGTGCCTTCCTCCCGTTTCTCTGAGTATAGCAGGCTACTAAGGGAAATGGGACCAGGAATGTGTCTGTCCTCTGCCTTGAGGCCATTGCTAGGGGTTCCCTGAGGCATGATGACCTTGTTCCTAGTGATGGTAAAGGTTCTTGGTCTTTCCTCCCCCAGCTGATGTCTCTTTCATGCTGTCTTTGCTATGACCTGGACTCCGAGC